TTTAGGTAGCAGAACTACATAATTTTAGAATATGTTTTCCTCCGAGTAAAAGGAGGTTTTTAGTAATGTTCCCCATTATGTAGAACTGTATTTACATAGTGCTTAAAACACGCAAAGCAGTTTGCCCTAGTTATCTTATTACATCCAATAACTAGCATGGTACTTGGTAAATAGTCAGAAGTGTTTGGTAAATATTTATTAAATTGCACTGAATGACATTCTTTTTGCAAATGAGAAAACTGAGACCAGAAAAGGATAAATCAAATAGTTTATCACCAGATGAAAAACCTATTTCTAACCCCAAGTTCAAGTCATGATTTTAACTGTTCATAATATTCTCAATAAACACACCTGAGATTATTCAAACAGAATTTATATTAGATGGGTATTACATTAATGTCTAGATGATCATCTCTATTCCTGAACAATCCAAGTCAGAATCTAAACACAAGATATGGTGTCATTAAGTGATGCTTGTCTCCTTTTCTGAAGAGAAGTGGATTCATCCTGGCACTTCAAAGAGCCTCACTTATATAACCAACAAAGTGGAAATATAGTCTACATACTATGAAAAACTAAGAAAGCTGGGAGTAGGTTTTGTTCTTCTTTATAATCTTATTTAACATAAAAGGGACTGAGGTCCGTGGACAAGTGAAGTTACAAGGAAAGAGACTTTTGTAGAGAGAAAAAGAGTGCACTCAAGTAAATCTTAAATTTTTAGATTGTATAAATCAGGATTCAACACCTTCCCTCAGTAACATCCACAGGACCCTAGAACTGTCTTGTTGTTATCATTAGATTTTCTGTGCCTCTGTGATGCTTCAAAATTTTTAAGTAAGGGAAATTCACACACTTCTCTTTCCAGACTAAACAGATCACTGAAAAATTGCATGATTATCTGACTTCTTAACTCTGAATAATATGTATTAGATAATTGAAGTGACTTTATAATGGAATTTAAGTTTGTCAGGCGTCAAAATAGGTAATATGACAAATTGAAGACCCCTGTATCAGCAAATTATGCATTTCAAATCACCACTGATGATTCAAGACTCTTGAAAGTGAGCTTCAATTTGGGCTGGTCTGTAACATATGCCATATTCAGGTAGATGTATAAAGCATAAGTAAATATGCATGTGGTATTTAAAGGATACAGAAAAAGTATTTTAGCTATTTCACTAAGTATTCTTGAATTTTTTTTCTTTAATATTCCTTCAATTGACCTAAACCTCATAAAGGATTTATGAATGTCACAATATAAGATTTCAGCAATGGAGAAAAAACAGTAATACTTATAAAGAATCAGGAGTATCTTAATTGTCAAATTTGAGTAGAGCCGTTCTAGGACATGAATCTTTCTATCCTTTCAAGGACCTGGTGCTAGAAAAACTACTCATCTGCCTCTATTTAAATGCCTAATAGCTGTGTGACCTTGAGCGAGTTAAAAATCTTGCAAAACCACAGTTCTCTCAGCTATAAAGTGGGACACGGCTACATGATACAACTGTAGTGAGAAGTAAATGAAATAATGCATAGAAAATCTTCAGTACAATACTTGTCACACAGCAGACGTGCAAACATTACCCTAGTAAAGGCGTGGCCAGAGAGAATGATAAAATTACCAGAAACCCATCTTAGGATAAAAATAGTGACTGCATTCTATGAATTCTTTGAGCTAATATTTGTTCAATTTTTAGCATTATGCTAGTAGTTTTCACATCTATTATCTCATTAAGCTTCTAAGACTTTAAGCACAAATCATGATCTCCATCTCATAAATTAGAAAATTGGGACTCAGAGAGATTAAGTGAATCACTTGGGTTGAATTATTACTAAACGAAAAAAAAAAAGTCAATCCAGAATTCAAACCAAGCTCTGAGTCCAAAGCACAAGCCTTCCTTCCATAAGACACTGCAAACAAAAACGGAAGCACGAAGCCCCACAACTACATGGAGAATGTATTTTCAATGGGGGTTGTATCATCCAAAGAGAGTGAAAAAATACTACTTTTTTATATATAAAGTACAGATATGCACATGGCACATAAATAGATTTACAGTATATCTGTAGTATTAATATTTCATGAGGATGACTAGGAAAAAAAATACCTAAAAAGCTCCTTGAGGAGGAAAGGGCAAGGATAAAAAAAAATTGTTTTTGAAAATCACTGATACAGACCCAGCAGACATAGCTTTAAAATTCACAATGCAGGCTTCACTTAAACGGCAGATGAGGAAGTTCTAAGACTAGTCAGTCTCTCTTTCTCAGCGGAATTAAATAGGAAAAAAATTCAAACACTTGCAAAGTGCTAATATCATCTGTATCATTCATGTACCTTGCCGTACAATCAATAAGAGAAATTTCCTCACAGTAGAGTTTGCTTATCTTTAAAATACGGAAACTGACCTCATTCACATAACAAATTGAAGAAATAAAGATAATATTCAGGTTTATATTTTGTAAGTATAGGATCCCAAAGAAAAATATTGCCATATGACTGATTCGGGAGGGAAGGAATTCCTCTATTTCTGAGCACAAGCTGGAATTGCAACTAACATTAAGATAAGGAACGTTTCTGGGAAGTCACACACTTAAAGAATTTCAGAGAAAATAGTAAGCACCTCCACCCGTCACTGAATGCTGCTGAGCTGGTAAGAAAAAGCTCATCTATTAAATTTGTCACTGTTGTTAACAGTAAATCATTAAATCATGAGATTTTCATTTAGAATACACTTCTTTTTATTTAAAATATAGAATGAACACAGTGAATTCCAACTGTTGGAATCTTTCCACAAAATCTCTTAGCTTAAAAAAAGTTTCATCTAAAAAATAAAAGGTTAAAAAAGTTCATTTAAAATATAAAAACTAAAATAAATAATAATAAAAAATAATAAAGTACCTGCTTTCACTTTTAGAGTCCCTTGGTTAATTCACGCATGTGTAAGATATCGGACTTCAGCTTATAAGTACATACATTCAAATACACACTTTTTTATAAGTGTACTTTCTGTTAGACATTACTTATCAATATGCCAATTTTAGCTGTAATTGTTTCTCAACAGACATTTCTTTTACCATCTTCTTTAGGAGCTTATGAATCTTGTTAATGCATAACATCAAATAATATATTCATGAACAAAGAAAGACTGGACCAAATGCTAGAAGGAATTGCAACACGGGTATTTGTTTTTGGCTTCATGTCTATAGCAACAGAATATTTCTTTAAAGATAACTTTACTCTAAACCACTGACAAGGAAAGGAAAAGGGAGAGGTTATAATCAAAGGTAGCATTCTCTTTGTTTTACTTGGGATAGGATGGAAATTTAGAAATGGTCAAAAAGTAGTGTATGATTAATTATAAAATATTTGAGGATAAAAACTATATTGATAATGCTCTCCCTTTCTGATTTGTTAGCCACTAGAATGATGAATTGAGACAATAGGCACGTAATAATACTCGATTGATTGGCCAAATGACCTGAAGTTGTCCTAGAATTACCTTGGAACAAGAACATGGTTGGGAATACTTAGGAACATACCGAGTACCTAACGGTGTCCACAAAACATGTCGATAAAATGCATTTACCTGCTTTCTCTTTGGCCCCCGTAAACACTGCATTTTAATAGTATTCCTAAGACATTTGAAAGACAATATTCTTTTCCAGGAATATGGATGGTACATTCCACAGTAATAACAATTTCTTTTAACTGCTGGAGAGCCAAACTTACCAGATGCAATGATGCTAGCACCTAAAGGAGAAAAAAAAAGAAAAAATTACAAAAATAAAAATATTTTGCAGTCACTGATTTGCAAGCCATTTAATATATTTATAGATCAATCAGCTGTACTTGAAAGTTCAAAAGTAACTCAGACTTTCATAACTAAAAGAAATAATTATAAACGAATTAATGAAAACAATTAGACATTACTAACATAATCAAGAAACAGGAATACCAGTGCCTAGATCTATTAAACAGTCAACACGATAAACATAAAACATGAAAAAAAGTTATTGAACACTGAAACAAACAACCTGTAAATCTGGTTATATGACTTGATGGCAAGTCAAGGTTGTTGTAAGGCCTCACTCGTGTTGACAAATGGAAGGTGCATGATGTAGGACACCATGTTACACAGTCAATAAGTAACCACTATGACTTTGTAAATAAAAGCAAAGGTATGTAACATTTAAAGAATAAATTAATTGTACATAAAAGACAAATTTGATCCAGACATTGATTGCATTTTTATCATAATAGTTGTTGACTCAGGTTCAAGTTAAATTTGTTAAATTATCTTGTATTTTTGTGGAAAGACAGTTCGACAAAGTTAGCTCTGTAACAAATTTGCATAAGTAAAACTTGTTTCTCTCTGCCTTGTCTCATTAAAAAATTGGACGTATTCAGCCTAAAGCATTTAGGCCCAGAGATGTCATAAAAACTTAAGAAGTCAGCAACCCCATATAAGTGTGAGAATTGATGAACTGAATCTAAAATGTGTGAATATAACCCAGAAAAACAATGTTGAGTGCAAAAAGTCGTTAGATAATGAAACATATAACATAATGTGGACATAAATTATAAAAAAAAAATACAAAAACAGTATTATGTATTATGAATGGTGACATAAAAACAGACAGGAAGCCTGCACACCAAACTTGAGGCAGTGATGGCCTGAGAGCAAGTGAAATGGGAGTGGGGAAATGTGCGAGGGAACTTTACCAATAATATCTGTAATATTTAAATTCCTAAAAAGATTCAGGTAATGGCAAAATCGGCTTCCGGATAACCATTATTAAATGTATGAAATCATTATGAAAACATGGGCATGATGGGTAAAAACGATTTTAAAAAACAACTATTTGATGCCACTAAAGAGTGCTCAAAAGCAGGCAGGAATTGAAGTTCCCCTTTTAAAGAGGGGAACTAAATGGCATGAGATTCTGTCTGTCTGTGTGTATTTGGCTTTTTAGCTAATGGAATAAAGAAACATACAAAGGGAATTTCAATGATAATAATGTTTTAAGTTCTTAAAAATTCTGGGTGATGGCCAAATGGACTTGAGAGTGGCAATTCTGAAATCTGGACAAAATCTTGAAAAACAACAATCCACAAATACTTGAAGGCAGTAAGAGCAAAGTCACTCAGGCAGAAATTTAGCGAAGCCTTGAGAGCTCAGGCAGGAAGTAAGTTGCCAGAATGAGATTTGCATACATGCAGCTGAGGGAAATCCCTACGTCACATGGCACAGGGAGCAGAAAACCAGAGTCTCACTTCAGAGGATGGAGTCCATGACCAACAGAGCATCTGGAAAGTGAGGGGCTGCTGATGCCCTATTTCTCGACATGTGTGGTGGTGATATGATTATTTGCTTCAGAAAAGTTATTAAGCCTTATATGTATATTTTACACAGCTTTTTGCATGTCTGTGGATTTCAATGAAAAATTAAAATAATTTAAAAAATTATCTCCTGGTTCAGTGTCAATAAGATTTTCCAAAGAACTAAAAAAAAACAAAAGTATCTCTATTCGAGAACAGAAATGTCCATAAAAATGGCTAATACATTAGGCAAATTGTAAAACAAGAAGGCATCCTGGTGGCCCAAAGCAGCATGAATTAGGCAGAAGAGTTTCATTCACTCAACAGGTTTTTCTAAAGTCTACAGCATATTTTACTCTGCTTTCATAAAAACTGCCATTTAAAGAGTTAATATAAACTATTTCAAAGAACTTTGTGTTTTCAATTACTGAGAGGACACTATTAAAGTGCTTTACCGTGTTAGCAACTCTAGTGGCTTTGGAGAGTTCCTTTAGTGGCTTTGTCAGTGAATCAGACCCAGAAATCAATTTTAAGGGTTATATATATTTGGTTCTTTGAAGAGTCTTGAAGAATTAAATGACTCTCTAGAGCTACTATTAAAAAAAAAAAAAAACAGCATTTCTTCACCATCCTTAATTTAGCATTGCTTTTCTGGACCCACAATGTTTTTTCTATATTTTATTATTGCAAACTGTTTCTTTCTTAAAGATTTGCCCTAGCACAATCCAAGCCCACCTCTGAAAGACAGGCAGAACTTAAAAGTGTGAAGAAAAATTCTGCCTACAATACATCAGAGACTGTCTACTTTTACAACCCCAATCAAGTGGAAACTTCCACCCAAACACCTCAGATCCATACTCAGAAACTTGAACAGTCAACTGACCTGAAGAAGGGCTTTTATGTCCTTTCGAGGTGCTTGTTGTGTGAAAACGCGTGGTTGCCTTGGAAACAGTTGGACTCTTCGTTGCTGTAACATGAGCAGAGGTCAATCTTTGTGTTGTGTGGAAACCCTTGGTCACTGGGGGATGTAGAGCAGTGGAGTTTCGTGTTGCTCGAAGATTCTGTGTAAGCGAAGCTTTTGCTGTGGTGAATTTTTGGGTTGTTGGTACAGCCTGTGTAGCAGAAGCATTTGTCTTGAAGGGATTCTTGGCTGCTGGAGAGTGAGTGTTTGGTGTGGGGAAATTTGGGGGTTTTGTGACTGAATTATTTGTTTTGGTAGGTTTCTGAGGAGTTGGTGGGACTTCTGCAGCTGGAATATTTACCATAATGGGTTTCTGAGGAGTTAGTGGGGACTT